GCACAGAAATCTGGAAGAACATACCGAAAGCCCTGATGGATCCAGCCAAAGACCTATCTAGCCCAGCATCCTGTTCTCACAGTGACCACCCAGATGCTCCTACATGAAGCCCCTAAGCAGGATCTGAGGGCAACAGCACTTGTGATTCCCAAGAACTGGTACTCAGAGGCATCCTGCCTCCGACATCAGAGGCAGAACATAGCCATTGTGGCTAGTAGCCACTGATTGCTGTACCCTCCATGAATCTGTCCAATCCTTTACTTAAGCCATCCAAGTTGGTGGTTATCACTACTTTTTGTGGGAGCGAATTCCATAGTTGAACTATGCACTGCATGTGGAAATAGTTTACAGTATTTAATCTATCCTGAATCTTTCAACATTCAGCTTCATTGCAATATCCTAGCATCCATAATACTAGGTTCTAGTATTATGAGTTTATGAGATGATTGTGGACGGGGGTGCCAACTCCTGGGGGCCAAGCCCTCCCCACCCCCAATATACTAAGCTAAAGGTAAAGGTAAAGGGACCCCTGACCATTGGGTCCAGTCGTGGCCGACTCTGGGATTGCGGCACTCTTCTCGATTTACTGGCTTCCGGGTCCTGTGGCCAGCATGACTAAGCCGCTTCTGGCGAACCAGAGCAGCGCACGGAAACGCCGTTTACCTTCCCGCCAGAGCGGTACCTATTTATCTACTTGAACTTTGACATGCTTTTGAACTGCTAGGTGGGCAGGAGCAGGGACTGAGCAACGGGAGCTCACCCCGTCATGGGGATTCAAACCGCCGACCTTCTGATCAGCAAGTCCTAGGCTCTGTGGTTTAACCCACAGCGCCACCAGGACTAAGCTAGAGAGGCCTTAATCTGATGCCACTTTTCTCATGCTCTTCTGGCCTGAAAGTCATTTCTCCCAACCTTGACCGTTAGTTGGCGATTGTTACTGCATAATAAGCACCGCACAGTGATTGTGCTGTACAGGACAAAATCAAATGCACATTCCATGGTGCATTATCAGTGTGTGAGTGTGGAGGGGAATCTACCCTGGGAAGAAGGGACATTTTGCATCAATCAGTCCTTCCCCCTCACACATCCACCCACCTACTGCAGGCTTCCTTCAAAACATTAGCTGCACCGCAAGCGACATCGTCTTTAATCAGCCTCTTCCCCTCTGGAATCCTTTTATAAATATTGCTAATAGCTCAGCACATCGTACAAATGTACAGCATGTTCTGCCTCTGCTGTCCTTCGAGAGTCATGGAAAGATGACTTCAGTGAAATATTGTTGCTCAGATGCTTTGGCAGATCTCTACCATAGGCCTACGCTTGCCTTTTCCCCCTGCCGTGCCTCCATCTCACCCCAGAAGACCTGCCCACATTTACTGTGATGGCCTTGAGCTAGAGATCTGGAGGAGGAAAAAGGCATCTCAGGACAAGGTGGAGCAGGCAGGTGATGGGACAGGTTATGAATGACCATGTAACGTAGAGAAAGAATCATTAGAGTGGGCAGAGAGGCTGAAGGCCACACCATCAGTTTATCATTGGGTGGGGGGTTGTTTATTGTATTTCTGAGTCACCCCATGCCTATCGTCATAAAAAGCAGGTTTTACTGTTATGAGAGGGAGGAAGAACCACAGCTCTGTCCAGTTTCTCAAAATCACACATTTTATAAACTTCTTTTGTGTCCCAATTTACACGCCTTTTATTCCAAACTAAAACATTGTGCATTTTCCAAGGGGGAAAAGCTCCAGTCCCTGCATCATTTTGGTGGCTCTTTTATGCATCTCCCAGCTCTAACGCTATCCTTTTTGAGATGCAGAGACCAGAGTTGTGTACAGTATATCAACTGTAGCCAGACCATAGATATGCATAAAATCGTTATGACATTGGCTGTATTGTTTTCAATCTCTTCCCCTAACACAGACCTTGCCCTTTTCGCAGCTGTGACACCCTGAGTTAACATTTTTATTGAGCTATCTGCCATGACCTCAAACTCTCTTTCCTGATCAGCCATTGCCAGTTGAGACCCCATTGGTGTAAATGTGAAGCTGGTCCAAAAGGGAGGCTTTATTTGTTCAAAAATAAATCCCAGTCCTTAAACGTTTGCACTAGAGCAAGGCTCAGAGCTCTTGACCACAGCAAGGACAAGGCAAGAAATAAATGCCATGAAGAACAATGCACATGCGTAGATGTCAAGGAAAGGGAAACATAATAAAGCCCTTTCAGATTCTGCAGACATACAGTAGCTATAGAGGACGGCTGTGTAGTCAACTGTAATTTTACGGCACGTTCAAAGTACATTTCAAAGAATTCTGGACACTGTAGTTGACCGCTCACATAGTTACAATTCACATCAACCCTTAACAAATGACAGTGCCCAGAACTCAGGTGGAGGGCAGAAGATGCTTTGAATGCGCTTTAAAGTTATAGCATGTATGAAGCCCAAGCAAAATGGGAGAAATGAATCCTGAAATGAATGGGAGAAGCTTAGAAACATGCCAGACCTTATCAGTATTCCAAAAACAAGGTCAACGCGAAGGAAGAACAGCCTACTTGCTATTCAAAAGGAATCCTTCTATTGAACAAGAGACACATTCGCATTAGCGTTGTCAACTGCAACGATCCGCTCCAAGGAGGAAGAGGACAAATTATATATCATGGATGAAATGAGGACTTATAGATCCCTTCCCGCATACCCCTTGTTTGGAAAATTAACATGTTCAAATACTAGAGGGTGATAGGTTATCACCGATATGTCCTTCCACTAACGCAGTGGGGGGGGGCAGGGAGCAGAATCTCAGGTCTGGGGATTCAAATGCAGACTCTTCCCATTCCACACACCCTTCTTCCCCACCTCCCCAGCCACACCACACCTGGGGTAAGCCCACTTCCTGTGTTGCTTATCCAGAGTAACCATCTGGCTACAATGAGGCACCCAGCAGCTGGGGGCAAGGGATGAATGTCTAGGGATCTGTGGGTCAAATCTTTGTTTTTTTTAAGTTTGAGAGTGTGTGGAGTTTTGTTTTTGATGTGTTTATATTGCTTTGGATTTGATGGGTTTATATGTTATTTTGCATTTAAATTGTTTTCATGCTTATCTATTGCAAGCTGCCCAGAGAACATTGTGTTACGGGAGCAGGAACATGTCCTGGTCAGGTTTGATGAGGCCCTAAGCTACTGAATGTAATGGGGCCCTTTATATGTCCAGCTGTCCTTTGTCAACAACAAATTATCTCTGTTTTTGTGTCGAATATATGCTATATGGTAATTTATGGAACTAATAGGGATCTAAAGCCATTTGCACATGTTGCCACGCAATTAGTCCAAGTAGAATGTAGGCACCTTATATACAGAAATGACCAAACCAGTGATATTTTAGGGAGCAGGCTAGCAGGCGGGGCCCATTACTTACATCATAGGAGCCTACACAACACAAAATACTGTTGCTGTATGTAGGTTTTATTTCATTTTTTTTAATCTTATATTTTGGAAATGTACATCCAGGTTTTTTTCCTTTAATTTTTTTGGGACCCCTCAAGAGAGTGGGGCCCTGAGCTATAGTTTGTTTAGCTTATATGTAAATCCAGCACTGGTCCTGGTTTTCAGGTGTAAAAATGGCGTCAGGGGGAATTTTGCCGAATTGGCAAAATGAAAACCCAGATGTATGGCAACACGATGGAAACAGCTCAAAAAGCTTAAAATCATTAGGTTTCCTTTAAAAAGCTCAACAACTTTGCGGGTGTCAGGAATTTGGCAACCCTAGGAGCAGCGTTCAAAGGCCAAAAATAAAAAATAAAATAAAACCCAAAACCATGGCTGGCCATCTGAGGCATTGTGTTCCATATCCCACTTTTAGTACATTACTGTGTATATTTCTCTCTTCCCCCTTCTGCTAAGGAGCTTGGCCTCAGGGTGACACCTGGGGCTCCCAGTTTTACCCTCACAATAACCCTGTTATTGTGGCAACAGACACAGTTTATGGGCTAAGTACAGATTTGAACCCGTATTGTCTCAATCTAAGTCCAACATTTGATCCAGCTGGTACTGCAAAGTATAGGAAATGCAGCTTAAAATTTTACAGGTGGATTGTGTGATGGCTGAGCTGGGTGACAACACATGTAAAATCAGTCAATAAGAGTATAATGTGCAACAGAATCTTGCTCTCACAGTGGCCAACCAGATGCCTGTGAGAAACCAGCAAGCAGGATTTGAGCACAAGAGCACTCTCCCCTCCTGTGGTAACTGGTATTCAGAAGCTGTCTCCAACTGCGGAGGGTGGAGCATAGCCGTTATGTGGTGCTTTTTCAAATAAATGTTTTATACTATTATTTCTGCAGGGACGCGGGTGGCGCTGTGGGTTAAACCATAGAGCCTAGGACTTGCCGATCAGAAGGTCGGCAGTTCAAATCCCCGCGACGGGGTGAGCTCCCGTTGTTCGGTCCCTGCTCCTGCCAACCTAGCAGTTCAAAAGCACATCAAAGTGTAAGTAGATAAATAGGTACCACTCTGGCGGGAAGGTAAACGGTGTTTCCGTGCACTGCTCTGGTTCACCAGAAGCGGCTTAGTCATGCTGGCCAGATGACCCAGAAGCTGTACGCCGGCTCCCTTGGCCAGGAAAGCGAGATGAGCGCCGCAACTCCAGAGTCGGTCACGACTGGACCTAATGGTCAGGGGTCCCTTTACCTATTATTTCTGCAGTTGACCTGTCATGCCCAGCACCATGCAGTAGTGAGGTGAAGGTTTTGCCAGCACCCACCATGGGTCTCTGCCGCCTTCCTTACTAGTGTGCAAGATTGGGCTGAGATTTCCATGCATACTATCAACAGTAATCTTTAGCTTGGTCTACAAGTATCAGTTTAATAAGAAATTTCAGGTGCTGTCTGGAAGTACCAGCCTTATCCCTGGAAATATCTTCCCTTATCCATTCTTAGATGTTTTGAGTCCAGTTGTGGCTACACCACAGTAGGAAAAGCATTTTGCACATTCTCAGAGGCAGTCTTATTTTCTCACATATCTAGGGACAAAGAGGAAGAACTATTGTTAGCTACAGATGCTCAAGGGTTTTCTCCTCATTTTTAAGTGAACCAACCTGATTCACTCTTCGTGGACTAAACAGTTGTCCTTTGATTTTTTTTTTATACTTCTTTGGATTCTGTGATACAACTCTCAGTTCCACAAAGTAGTAAAATACATGTTGAAATCTGTATTTGAGGTTAAAATGTGTGTGTGTGTGTGTGTGTGTGTGTGTGTGTTATGATGGAATGCATACAAAAATGCCTATTTTACGAAGAATGCATTCAAGGCTATTGTGATTTTGTGTGTGAACTTTTTTATTAAATGGCAGATCAACCTAGTAATGGGATAAAATAGACATGAATTAAATAACCTGCAAAAGCAGACTGGTTGTCCCTACCAACAGTTTCTTTCCTTGAGGTCCACATGAATCTGGAGCCAGTTTTATGTCGTGTTCCAAAACAAGAAACAGCTTAATTGTTTAAGAGATTCTCTATGGGACAATTGTATCTTCACTGCCCCTGACTGTTCTGCCTTTTCTCTTGCTACAGGATTTGCCAAATCCCCAGTGTCTTGAGCGAGGCAGTGCTTGCCCTTAGGAACAGCAAGAGCACAGCTTGTCATCAACAAGAGACAGGCTTCCCATGAATTATTCTCTTCCCCAAGCAGCTGCTCAGCACTTGCTTGATGACTCATGGGGGACCTGGCAAGCCTACCAGCACCATCAGGAACCTTAGCAGCTCACAGAGTCCTGGTGGATCATGAGTGGCACACACTGCGTGTTTGGCAGCTCTTTGGAGTGCCTCTGTGCTTCTCTGAGTCTCACTGTTGCTTGGGGTTTCCAGCACAGCCATAATGTGAGCGATAAATGTTCTAGGGCTGGCTTGAAGCCCATTGGGCAAATCTCACCCCAAGCAATTTAATTATATTATTATAATACCTTTATAACATGTCTATCTCACCCTTCATCATAGAAGATGATCCCAGATTGGCTTGCAATTAAGTGGACTCCCACATAGCCTACCTTGTTTTAATTAATGCTGAAATGTCCAAAGTTTCTTTTTAAAAGTAATAATAATAATAATAGTTTTTATTGATTTTCTTTTCTCATAACAAATATCCAGTGTCATTACTTAACATTCATTTTCCAATTTCCCCCCTCCCTGTGACTTCCCCCAACTTCCATTTCTGGTTTATTACATCAAATGTTACATTCTGCTGTTTGTACATAATACTATGTTATCACCTGTTATATTTCTTTTTCTCTGTAAATAAAATTGTAAATGTTTATTTAAATCCTGCCAACGAGTCCATGGTTGTTGTTTTTTTTTTGTTTCTGCAAATAAGTTGTAAAAGGTTCCCATTCTTTTCCAAAGTCACTATTGTCCTGAAATGTCCAACGTTTCACTCAGAAGGGCACGGCTTCCTCTTTTTTGTCTAAAGTTCCCTGGCATGTGACAAGATTGCAAGGGATCTTACCTATTTGCAGGGATCTTACCAGAATGCTACTGTCCTTTCAGGGGAGACAGCTGCCTTGGAATGTGCCATTTCAGCCAATCACACCTCTTCTGGCATGTCTGTTAACCTACAACTTGCAAGGAAGGTTGCTCTTACCTAATGCTTTTACTCTGCTACTTGATGATGATGATGATGATGATGATGTAAAAGGCACAGTTCTAATTTGAAAAAAAAAATACATCTACAGTTCTATTTTCAACAGTTTAGGCAGAATCAGCATTCATTCCAACAGTTACCCATTCTTTATGCTCTTAGAGTTTATGATTGATTATATCACACTGGGGAATTTAAGACAGGAATAACTCAGGTACAAGGAATATAAAGCACTTGAGATAGGTTAAAAGTTGAATCTAAAGATAGGCCATACATTCCATTCACCTAGCCTAGATGAATACTCACATTGAAAAATCATACCTGACTTAGGATGCCTGACTTAGGAAGCACATTCATTTCCTCCAGGAATCCTGGGGAGCGTAACTTACCTCTCTGAGTTTCCATCCCCAGAAACTCTAAGCAAACTAGAGTGGCCAGGAATCTTGGGTGGATGACGTGTTTTGAATGAGTTTTAAAGCTATAGGGCCTTTCCAGATGAGCTTTTTATATACATTCAGGATGGTTTGTGCTCTTGACGCTATCAGGATTGTCACACACACTTCCACATTTAAGTTGATTTGCATCTATCCACCCTTGGGGTGGTCACATGGCATAAGCAGCAATCTGCATGGTCTGTAGCTTCCAGCAAATATCACAAAACGTTTCACACCAGAAATATTCTGGTGTAGGTTCTTTTCCCTACCACTTTTGATGCACTATGAAAATATGTAGCTTGTGTTTTGTTTTGCTGTGTCTTTAGGCAGAGCTCCCAGATATTTTGCACTGAAGGTTTATTTACAACCTTGTATGAATAGAAAGTTTGACTAGTGAACCATATTTCCACCACCACATAAGGTGCCATACTTCCCTATTCGGAAGGTATCACCAACAATTACATTTCAAGGTCTACCTTCCTGCCTCTTCCTGCCAATCCACTAAGCAGCTCATCTTTACACTTCGTTTGCAAACGAATGAGCCAGAAAAATAATGCTGCTAGCATATCTAAGAAGACTGACAAATCAGCATGTTCATGTTCTCCAAAGCAAGCTAATAGCCACATGCAGGCAGGTGGAGTCTGCTTACAACTACATTGACCCTTATTAATCAGAAACATGTTACCAGTATTTGCTCCATGCTAAACTGAAACAAATTTTCCTTAATTAAAAAATAATTCCCACTGAGCTTCCAGCTCAGAGTAAGACCCTGTGAGTTTATTATTGTTTTGGCTCATTCAGGGAGACTGTTTATCGCAGCTCAAAGCATAACACTATTAAACCATATTAAATCCTGTATTAAATGGGATTTTAGTGGTGTCTTCCCTCCCACATTGGCCCTTTGCATAGGGGTATATATCATAAACTAGATAAATGCTTCATTAGAAAGAGCATTGTTTCTTTCTAGACTTGAGTCATGTGTTCTTGAGCAATTCAGAAAAAAATAGTTTTATTTCTTCACCTTAAGAGTTTTTTTCCACCTTCACTAACAGTTAGCCAATGTTTTAACTAGTCTCTGTTCCTGTGCCTTTAACAGCAGCTCAGTTGGCGCTCATTATTATTTCCAGGATATTATAATGCCTATCTAAATGCTATGAAAAACGTCCCTGATTGTTTCTGCACATCAGGATGGCTTTAAAGCTACCGGATCATGCCAGGATGGGTTGGGTTTTTTGTCAGCTGGCAACCCTGTTCACCGAAACTAAATAAAATTACTACCTCTGAATATTCCCACCATCCACACACTGTATGAAGCTATGGAACCTCTTAACAAATTTTGCAACATGTGTCCATTCTCTGTAAAGGATTTTTCTCAGTCCTCTTCATTTTAGGCTTGAAGCCTCTTGTGGGTGCAGGTTCCATAGCTTAACCACGCACCGTGTGAAGACGTACTTTATTTTGTCTGCCCAACATTCAGCTTCGTTAGATGGCCACGGGTTCTAGTGTTACGTGGGGGGAGGGGAGACAGGCCAAATGCTTCCAGCAAGCCTTTCGCCCTCATTCATCATCATCAAGCGAATTTCAGTATGAAATGAGGTCGGTGCTGTTCCATTTTTTCAAATTCTTAACAGCACTTTGCACTTGGGAAAGGTTATACATAAAAATGAATGATAACCTTAAAAGTTCCATAAAGAATTCAGAGCTATAGTTAATCTGGATTTTTGGAAGGAAGCACCCTGCTCATAGCCAACAGGCTTATTAAGCTCTCTTTCAGCAAAAGAGTATATGCAGCCTAACATCTGAGTTATCAGGATTAAATTCAGTCCTGAGGAAAAACAGCAACAATAAAACATGAGGAGAGGCCTTGTATTTTTCATTTTAAAAGAGAACACAGCGAGAGAACAGTAGACTCTCTGGCAGAAAATCAATTGTGCCCTCAGCATTCGGTTACCTGGGTGGCTTTTCTGTCATGTTGCATTGACAATCAACAGAGCTTATGCCCCACTTCGACATTAATTTTTTTAAATAAGAGAACCCAGTAAGCTGCCGTAATACTGCTAGTAATTATGAGGCACAAGGGGAAGACAAATAACACTTGTGGCATAAATCAAAGCAAACATAATTTTCTTGCAAGGCTATTGTGTTGTCATTGCAGCAAGGCAGAGGATGAGCCATATTATCCTCTCCCTGGCTTAGCTTCTATGTGCACAACGTTTTCCATCCAAAGGTCTTGTCTATGCTACCACCCTATATTCTTTCTACCCCACCTTTAATTAAGGCTTGTCCTCATCAAGAAACGTGGGGAATGGGAGCTTTGTGAGGTTGATGCTGAGAATCCTCTATTGGAGATCCTTAGCTCAGAGAAAGAGGACCTCCAGAAGTAGCTGAACTAAACTCCTCCAGAAGTGGCTGAACTAAAGTGCCCATCATCCTGGTAACTGAAACTGATGGAAGCTGGAGACCAACAACATCTAGAGGGCCATTGGTTCCCCTTGTCCCTTGTCTTGGGGACAGGCAATGGCTGTTAAACTGATTCAAATCTGTAGTGTGGATATGTCCTAAGAGGTAAGATGAGCCTCATCTTACCACTTCCCTTTGGGTTCTTCAAACAGAATAGCTTCTCTAACACTACATGTGTAGCTGAAATAATCTTGTCAAGCCAGTGTGGTGTAGTGGTTAAGAGCGGTAGTCTCGTAATCTGGGTAACCGGGTTCGCGTCTCCGCTCCTCCACATGCAGCTGCTGGGTGACCTTGGGCCAGTCACACTTCTTTGAAGTCTCTCAGCCCCACTCACCTCACAGAGTGTTTGTTGTGGGGGAGGAAGGGAAAGGAGAATGTTAGCCGCTTTGAGACTCCTTAAAGGGAGTGAAAGGCGGGATATCAAATCCAAACTCTTCTTCTTCTTCTTCTTCTTCTTCTTCTTATTCACTACACTGTGTTTTGCTTCAGACCTGGTTTCTCTTCTACCTGGAGAACTCTCCTGAGTCACCTTCAGACTCTCAGTAGGTTCCTTACCGACAGGCTCAGAATTTGTTTATTTTCAAAGTGAAACCTTCGGTAAACCTCTAAAAATAATCCCAAACTCAGGTGTCTGTTGAGTCTGAAATCACTACTTGACTATGAGTGTATTTCATTGGTTCTCACCAGAACTGGCATTGTAGGACTGATAAGGAGGCATTTGGTGTCAGTGCTTAGGGATTTCTAACAATTTCGCTAACGCAGACCAGAAAATTCCACTCAGATGTATTTCTTCTCCCCACCAGGACTGGTGGGATTTGCAGTTCAGTGACACCTGGAGGGCCAAAGATTCTCTGTGCCTGGCCTACACTGCCTGGCAGTCACTCTTCAGTTTCAGAAAAAAGGTGTCTCTCAGCCCTACCTGGAGATGCTAGGAGCCGAACCAGGAATCATCAGCAAGGAAAGTGGATGCACTACCACTCAGCCTTCCCCTCAAGGAAGGGTGCCCAACAGATTTGTATTTTATATTTGAGCTCCCCAACTTGCCATGGGCTGTATAGGATGTCACAGGACAAGACATCGGATCACTCGGATCAATCCGAGGAACGACCTTCTGCTCCTTCTAGTCCTGATCCGGTCCCTGACACACAACGTTGGCCTACTGATTTCTCCGACCCATCGGCCACACGACAGTGGGTTGAGCACAATCTTCCCCCTGGTACTATCCTTCGCCTACCTGAGGGATACCGCATCCTACACTTTAGTGCTGGTCCTCTGTCCTCCCTTCCGGGACTGATGAATCGTCACACTCGCCCACCTACGGCTGGTCCGGCTGTTTCCTCTGTTCCAGGAAGTTCGCGTCTGCGCAGATGGCCCAGTCTGTTCAAAAAAGGCACCGGAAATTAGTGTGACTCATAGAACAGCTGCCTCATGCCGTATCAAGCTAAGAAGAGAGTTCACATTCTCAGTTCACATTCTCAGTTCATATTCTCAGTTCACATTCTCAGTTCATATTCTCTGGAGCATGCCCCTGCCTGCATATTATAGACAGATATATTCAATGCTTAATACCCTAACCTCTAATAGCTCACCTTGAATTACTGTATGCTAGTAGGTTAGACAAAACCACATGAACATATATACTTCTCTTCTGATACAAGGGCTGGGGTAAAGTAGGCTCCTATCCGCATCCCATAGTTAATATTCTGCACTGTGGAATGTGGGGGTGCCTCTTTTAATGTTATTTACCACTCTCAAAGCTCACTCTCCTTTCTCACTCTCAGTGAATTATGAGTATATATACCCTATGTTTAGATTGTAAGGGCAGACTCCTTCAGCACTCAGCTGCGTCTGAGGAAGATTCTCCTGCTCCAGGTTCTGGTAATGTATCTTATCTTTATGTAATAACCTTGCTCCATATTCAGTATCCTAGACATAGACCAAAAACAAACCAAAAAGAATTAAGCTGTTGTAATCAATAAAATCTTAAATAATTTTAAGAGAAATATTGATGTCTATGGTAATTATTTTTTAAGACCAAGAAATTGGCTTATGAAGTAAAAGGTTTAATTGTCTGTCCTTAGGGACATACTAGATAATCTTTACTCATAATAAAAATAGACATACCCACGACAAGGACCCAGCACCAGTTCTGGGATGCTCTTGTAAGATCTCACAGGGCAAAAAGAGCTTTTAAACTCTCCACCTTTCAACTCTACAATTCTGTGATTCTATGTTTCCATTAGTCATTGTATTGTAATGTATTGCCGTTTTACCAGCTTAAATAGAAGCCATAATTAAAGTCTAACACATTTAGACAATGGAAAGCCTGGAATGAAATGGATCAAATAAATGAATAAATAACATTCATATTATTATAAAACATCATGTCACAGCAAATAAATGCAGAGCAATACAGAAGTTCCTGAGTCATACGCCAGTCAATCACAGTAAAATACAATCAAGGATAATTGAGTGAACACATTTTTGATATTAGGTTCCTTTTCAGATGTTTTCCTGTAATTTTAAGTGCTTCAGTTATAGGTGATAAAAACAACTAAAGTGCTGTTTTTAATAACAATTTTGTTATAAAAATAAAAGGGGGGGGGACTACAAGAGGAAATCAGTACTTAAAACTGCCACCACCCCCCACCTGCGGGAACAGAAACTGACACTGAGGCAATTAAGAGAGGATATTAAAGAGGCAAGTAATGGGGGCCAGAGGCATTCTTGAGAAATAAAGATGGTGGCTGACACATTCAGCAAAATTGTGAGAGAGGAGAGGGATACTGCTGCAGCTGCCTCACGAGTGGGAGTGGGAACAGGCAGTGTCTGAAGTGACCAGGGAGAGGAAGACACAGTGATGGGGGTGGAGCAGAAGACAGATGGCCACCAACTTGGATTGGCCAAATTCATGGAGGGTAAGTCTATAAAGAGCTTCTAGCAACACTGAGTATGTTCTGCTTCATTGTCGGAGGCAGTGCACCTTTGATACTAGTTGCTGGAAATCACAAGTGTGTAGAGTGTTGTCGACCCCAGGTCATGGTTTGGGGCTTTCCATAGGCACCTGGTCAGTTTCTGTGAGAATAGATGCTGGTCTAGATGGGTTGTTTGTCTGATCCAGCAGACAATTCTTATGATGGGGTAGGGGGAAGAATAGGGCAACAGAGTACGCGGTTAAGATGACAACCAAGGGAGTCGGGGAGGAAGTTAGTGCAACCCGAAAATTTCCCCAATGGAGGATGGTAGAGGAAGATGGAGTGATTGGCTCAAGTGGATCCTCTTGAATTTGCATGATTTTTACACTGGATCCCCACAAAACAATCAAATCAAAGCTTACATTGGTGTCAGCAAAGTCACTTAAACAATGCAGATGGAGTCCAGAGGGGAAAATATCACTATAGTGATGTTTAAAGGAGGGTGGAAGGCGCTTCAGAGAGTGGTCTGGCAAACAGTCCTCTCACCTTCCTCTAAAAGTGTGAGGCACTGTGGGTTGGGGCAAGCTGTGAGGGAAGGGAAGTGATTTGGGGTGAATTGTGAGGGGATAGGCAGGGAGTGGGCAAGACATAAAGGGAGTAGGGTTTGGTCAGTTATAAAGGGAGGAGGAGTTGGCCAGGTGTGAGGGAAAGGGGTTGGCAGGTAGGTGGGTCTGGCAAGCAGAGCAAACAGGGACAACAGCCTCTAGTTGTTATTATTAAACCTATTACCAGCCCTTCAACAGCATGTCCCAGAGTGGACTATGACAATTTAAAATGCAGAATTAAAAACAGTTAAAACAAGTTATAGTTAGAGGAATGAGGTGGGTCTTGAAAATGCACATCTCAGCTGTCAAGCCACACGTGACAACTATATGACACCTGAACAAAGAAAGCTGAGTTGATTAATCACATGGGTGCTACATTAATTAATTGAATCCACAGCATTTTGCAAATTAATAATTTTGAAAATTATTCTGAAGAGGAGGAAACTTCCTTTTGTTTTTAACTGAGGCACACATTTGTCCTTGCGGGAACCCTCAGACACAGGAAAGAATGCATCTTATAAGAGGGTTCCTGCAGTGACAAATGTGTGCCTCAGTTAAACATGCAGGATGGGGGTAGCTCCAGTTCTTGGTTCATTTTAAACATTATTAATCAATTCCATTGCCTCTAAGGGAGAATAAATTTTCTTAAGGTGATCCCACACTTGCTTGCATTGCTTGAAAGTATTTGTATTTTTCTTCTGAAAGTAAAAGAAAAGAAAGAGATGTCACAGTGGTAACTATTATCCTGTCTTTGAATAAGTGTACAGTGGTACCTCAGGTTAAGTACTTAATTCATTCCAGAGGTCCGTTCTTAACCTGAAACTGTTCTTAACCTGAGGTACCACTTTAGCTAATGGGGCCTCGTGCTGCCGCCGCAGGATTTCTGTTCTCATCCTGAAGCAAAGTTCTTAACCCGAGGTACTATTTCTGGGTTAGCGGAGTCTGTATCCTAAAGCGTCTGTAACCCGAGGTTCCACTGTACTCTATCTGTTGTTCATTTGTGGTGTTATATCATATATGTGTTTGACCAAACTGCGGGAGGCAGTGGAAGACAGGAGGGCCTGGCGTGCTCTGGTCCAGGGGGTCATGAAGAGTCGGACACGACTAAACGACTAAACAAAAACAAATCATATATGTGTTGTTTGTTTAATTATTTATAGCATAACATGTATTCCTTTGGATTGTCAGAAAACCTCAGCCTAGTGGTTTGGACTGGCTCCCCAGATCAGCAAAGTGATCTGTAAAAACTGCCACTTGCTCCCCCCTCTCTGCTGCCACAGAACCTTCTCTTCTCCTCCCTGTTCCAAGGGGGCAACTGTGATAAGCAAAGATAGCAAACGGAAGCTTGAGATGCCATCACACCAGGGCCAGCCCTCATTTTACTCAGCCTACAACTCTGCAGTCCATTTGGTGTCTAGCAAGCTAGAGGGGGAAAGGCTGGAACTCCGCAGTCCCCACAGGAGGATCGAGGTGGAAAGCAAACTAGTCAAGCAGATGGCAGAATCCTGCTTTTGCACTCTAATAACCAGCCGTGAATAATGATCTCAGTTTCTCGGTGTCAAATCCACCCCCCGCCCCTCATCCCTGAAAGGTCACATAAGCAGGATTCAGAATTAACTACAGGGTCACCTGATTATTCTTGCCACAATGGTTATTTGTTATGGTTGCTCAGTTGCATTATTTTTGCAAGATCTCGTTTACTGCAGCTACAATTTATTCTTTAGAGAAAGCACGTTGTCATTATTGCAATTAAATTGTTCACATGCTGGCAATGTACGGGCGGTTGACGACCTTTGTGTTAAAATTTCTATAGGCACACTCTGTGTAACAAAACTACTTTTAGATAATAACTATGCTTTTCCAGGAGAGGTGTTTTTTTTAATCTCCAGAAAGTCATTTTCCACAGTGTGTTTCCAACACAGCTCATTTTCATCAAGTAGTTGCTAGGAGGAAGGTGGGGGAAGCATTGGATATGTTAAAAATATACCCAAACAGGAACTGTTATTTTCTGCAACACTCTTGATATAAGTTTTACTTGACTCACAGGACAAAAGCTTGATTTTTAATTTTATGGCTATGAATTCCCAAAATGTGGTGGAAAAGACAAATTTGTCAATGCATGAGAAAAATGGATGTGGCCAACTACTTAAAATGCAATCCTAACCACATCTACTCAGAAGTAAGTCCTACTGAATTCAATATGGATTACTCCCAAGTAAGTGGGGTTGGGATTGCGGCCTTAACTACTCATGTTGGTGTTACAACCATAGAATATTTTATCTTGCAAAGTAGATTTTTAAAATTATCTTAAACAGGGAGGTTGCTAAGCACTTCAACGATAGGGGGGGAGGTATAGACACAAATTTGCAAGTGCTAATTTATATGTACAGATGAATATTTAGAATGTAAAGGTTATATAGAAGGCAGCTGAACAGTTGCATCCAATTCAGCAATTCATTCAATTAATCTTCAATTAACTGGCATCCTGTTCCAGATCTATAATTTGCTTGTCCATATTTACAGTAATTTCTCAACAGATCTTGCCCGAAACCAGTTTAATCCCCCAAAGACCCTCATTAATAACTCTCAAATCATCTCTAAATCAAGTCCACATTCTAGAAGCAAAAGATGTAGAAGTGAGTAAGATGGGAGAGCACAATAACCTTTCCCATAAATCTGGAAATCTATGGGGTGACAGGTCCCTTGTTAACAGTCCTGCGTGGCACTTTGAAGATTAACAAATTCAGGCTACAATCCTGTACTTCTAAGGGAGCAATCCCCATGGAATTCAGTGGGGCTTATTTCTGAGTAACGTACAGTTTCTTTGGCATTGAACCGACTCTAGAAATTGTGACATCAGGGACCCCTTCTGAACCAGAGTAAGATGCTTCTTAGTTTAGTTAGGTGCTATTTCTTAAATTGCAATACTTACGTGCCCACAGTAGTTTTGCAAGAGAGAAGAAAGGGGAGAAAACCAGAACAACTTGGCAGCAACCCTGTGAGCAGTCCCACGAGGAACACCAACCACCAAAAGTTGCCTGCAGTCAGACATTCTACTGTCCAGAATTTTACAACAGCTTGCAAGTGCCCTTATTTGCATTTGAAATCATGTCCCGCATAACTTTTTTTTTTTTAAGAGTCTGCATTTCCTGCTTATCAACCCATAAAGCTTAACTGAGCTGGAAAAATTCCCTGCTTAGTGTGTCAGTCAGACAAGTGTTACCCTTTGCTTTTTATGAAACTATGCAAGCCATCTGAGAGACTATAGAGTCCTTCTGTTCCCTCAGTGCTTTGATGAGATGTATTATAGATTTTCCTACTTGGTGCATTCAGAATGTGTCTCCCGACCAAAACAAAATGTATATGCCATATCGTCTGGTGAGTCTAATATGGGTGTTCTTTAATAACACAGGATGTGGGGAGAACACAACTTCTTCCATGTGTTGAAATAAGGTATGGAGGGGGTTGTGGAGCTGGGCAGGCCAGCTCCATTTTCGCTGTGCACTGCCACATCTCCTTGCATCTCCAAGATGCCTCCTGACATCCATGCAGTGAAGCTACAACAAAGGGAGTAAAACTTGCTTGGGGTGTGGGGTGTGGCT